TCGAATTGTCTTGGCACTCGTGTTGAAAATGAGTTGACTGTAGGCCAGGTGCAGTGGCTCAAGCCTGTAATGCCAACACTTTGGGAGGCCGAGGCAGGAGGATCACTTGAGGTCAGGAGTTCAAGACCATCCTGGCAAACATGGTGGAACCCTGTCTCTACTAAAAATACAAAAAATTAGCTGGGCGTGGTGGCGGCGCCTGCAGTCCTAGCTACCCGGGAGGCTGAGGCAGGAGAATGGCGTGAACCCGGGAGGTGGAGCTTGCAGTGAGCTGAGATCGCACCCCTGCACTCCAGCCTGGGCAACAGAGCGAGACTCTGTCTCAGAAAAATAAATAAATAAATAAATAAAGTTTCATTTTTATATTGTTCATTGCCCGTGAAGAAATACAATTGAGTTTTGAAATACTCATCTTGTGCCCTGCAAGAATTCTGTACCTTGCTGTACTTGTTTATTCATTCTAATAATTTTTTTAGTGGCTTCCTTAGGATTTTCTACGTATGAGATCATGTCATCTGAAAAGTTTTACATCTTCCTTTTTCTTTCTTTCTTTTTTTTTTTTTTTTTTTTTTTGAGACAAGATCTCACTCTGTCACCCAGGATGGAAGGCAGTGGTGCAATCTCTGCTCACTGCAACCTCTGCCTCCTGGGCCCAAGCAATCGTCCCACCTCAGCCTGCAGAGTAGCTGGGATTGCAGGTGCGCACCACTTTGCCTGGCTAATTTTTGCATTTTTTTCCTTTTTTTCCTTTGGTAGAGACAGGGTCTCACTATGTTGCTCAGGCTTGTCTTGAACTCTTGGGCTCAAGCGATTCTCCCGCCTCGGCCTCCCAAAGTGCTGGGATCACAGGTGTGAGCCACCGTGACTGGCCCTGGATGCCTTTCATTTCATTTTCATTTTATTTTCTGTTTTCTTTTCCTTTATATATATATATATATTTTTTTTTTTTTTTTTTTTTTTTTTTTTTTTGAGATGGAGTTTCATTCTTATTGCCCAGGCTGGAGTGCAATGGCACTCAGCTCACTACAGACTCCACCTCCTGGGTTCAAGTGATTCTCCTGCCTCAGCCTCCCGAGTAGCTGGGATTACAGGCATGCGCCACCACACCTGGCTAATTTTGTATTTTCAGTAGAGCTGGGGCTTCTCCACGTTGGCCAGGCTGGTCTCAAACTCCTGACCTCAAGTGATCTGCCTGCCTCAGCCTCCCAAAGTGCTGGGATTACAGGCGTGAGCCACTGCAGCTGGCCTCTTTTATTTCATTTTCTTTCCTAATTGCTCTGGCAAGAACTTCCTAGAATGTCGAAAGTAAGAGGCAGGAGTGGGCACTGTTGCTTTATCACGGCATTTTATTGATGTGATTATGATGCTCTGGGAGTCTCCATCCAGGTTCTTGTGCTGAGAGGCTCCTTGGACTGCTGGGTTTATGGTTCTCATCAAGCTCGGAATAACTCCAGCCATTATTTCTTCAGCTATTTTACCTTCTTCCCCTCTTCTAGGACCAACTCCAATTACATGTATGTTAGGCCACTCAGCGTTATCTCACAGCTCACCATTCTATTTCTCTGTTTTGTAAAATGTTTTATTTTAAATAGTTTTTATTGTTACAGTTTCAAGTTGACTACTGTTTTCCTTTCCAGTGTCTAACCTGTTGGGACTTCCACCCAGTGAACTTCTCAAATCACACGTCACAATGTTCATCTCTAGAAGTTCCCCGTTGGGATTTTCATACCTTCAAAGTCCCTAACACATTCGATATTTCCTCTAGCTTCCGCTTTTCTAGTTGGTTCCTGTTTTTGTTTAGAGATGAGATCTCACTTTGTGGCCCAGGCTGGCCTTGGCATCTTGAGTAGCTGGGACTACAGGCACACAACCACATCTGGAATAGCTTCTTGATTATCTGGAGTAAGTTGTAGCAGGGGCTTTCATATCCTGGTCTATGAATTCTATCATCTGTAACATTGCTGGGATCCTCCTGTCCATGTGCGAAGGGTCGTGTGTCCGTCATCTGGGAGGGTCCCTGTGTCCATCATCTGGGGAGGGTCTTGTGTCCATCATCTGGGGAGGGTCCCCGTGCCCACCATCTGGGGAGGGTCCCCGTGCCCACCATCTGGGGAGGGTCCTGTGTCCATCATCTGGGAAGGGTCCCCTGTGTCCATCATCTGGGGAGGGTCCCTGTGTCCATCATCTGGGAGGGTCCCTGTGTCCGTCTGGGGAGGGTCTCCTTTGTCTATCTATCATCTGGGAAGCGTCCTTGCCTGAGTGCCAGGAAGGGGGACACTCTCACTGTAACACCAGCTGCGACCCTTCATGCTTTCATCGCTGCCCCCACATGGAGAAGGCATTTGCCCCAGGGATTTTGTGAAGCAGTGAAAGCCTTCTGCCTGCAGCCTGCTTGGTATCAGCAAGCCCCTGGCTTAGTCAGGAAAAATCCAGCCGAAATCACGCATGGTAGATTCGTCGGCCGCCTCCTGGAATGCTGCTGTCACCCCTTCCCCAACAAACCAGCTTCCTGGGGACATGCTGATGGAGCTTCCTCTTTTCCTAAAGCCAAACTGGAGAAACAGAAGGCGCATGGGCACACAACATGATGTCCTGGCCCCCAGGCGTCTCTGCCGACAGCTCGTGCTGCCTCCCCGTGCATGTGAAGCAGGAAGTTTGGCCACAGCCAGCAGAGCATCCCTGACCCAGGCTGGGAGGGGCAAGACCAAGGGTGCCACTGGGCCTGGGGCTTAAGAGGCCGTGGTTGGGGGCATTGGCAGCTAGAGGGAACCATGCTGGAGCGCAGCCAGCCCTGCCATCTGGTGTGTTTGGCACAAGCCACGGTCAGTGATACGGTCTGGATCTGTGTCCCCACCCAAATCTGATGCTGAACTGTAATCCCCAGTGTTGGAGGTGGGGCCTGGTGGGAGGTGTGGACCCTGGGGCGGGTTTCTCGTGAATGGCTGAGCACCACCCCCTGTGGTACAATCCTTGGGTTAGTACATGAGCTCACAGGAGATCTGGTGTTTAAAAGTGGGTGGCACCCACCCCCCATCCCCTCTCGCCTCTGCTCTGGCCATGTGACCTGCCTGCTCCCGCTTCTCCTTCTGCCAGGATTGGAAGTCTCCTGGGGCCTCCCCCAAGGCTGAGCAGGGCTGGACATGGCAGCTCACGCCTGTAATCCCAACACTTTGGGAGGCCGAGGTGAGTGGATTGCTTGAGGTCAGGAGTTCAAGACCAGCCTAAACAACAGGGTGAAACCCCATCTCAACTAAAAATACAAAAATTAGCCTGGTGTGGTGGTGGGCGCCTGTAATCCCAGCTACTTGGGAGGCTGAGGCAAGAGAATCGCTTGAACCCAGGAGGCAGAGGTTGCGGTGAGTTGAGATCATGCCACTGCACTCCAGCCTGTGTAACAGAGCAAGACCGTCTCAAAAAAAAAAAGCTGAGCAGGTGCCAGCACCATTGCTACCTGTGCAGTCTGTAGAAGCATGAGCCAATTAAGCCTCTTTTCTGTCCCCCAGGTCTTTTCTGTCCCACCACGCCCAGCTAATTTTTGTATTTTTAGTAGAGACGGGGTCTCACCATGGTGGCCAGGCTGATCTTGAATCCCTGACCTCAGGTGATCCGCCCGCCTCAGCCTCCCAAAGTGCTGGGATTCCAGGCGTGAGCCACTGTGCTCAGCCTACAGTCAACTGATTTTTCAACACGGGTGCCAAGACAATTCAATGGAGGAAAGAACCATCTTTAACAATCACGCCACTGCACTCCAGCCTGGGCAACAGAGTGAGACTCCATCTCAAAAAAAAAAAGCAACAGAAAAATAGAAGAATGGTGAGTTGTGGGACAAGTTCAACTGGTATACATGTACCTGGAGTCAGTCCCAGAAGAGGAGAGCTGCCCCAGCTCCACCTGTCCCTACCCCCAGGGTCCCCCATACCCGTTGCCCTGTCCAGGTCAGAGTGAGCCCAATGGCTCAGATGCCACCGCCTTCCTCCGCCCACCAGTTTCCTCTCTCCACGCTCTATGCTGAGCTCATAGGCTGACTGTGAGTCCGTTCTCACACTGCCATAAAGAAACGCCTGAGAGCAGACCGGGTGCAGTGGCTCAAGCTTGTAATCCCAGCACTTTGGGAGGCCAAGACAAGCAGATCACTTGAGGTCAGGAGTTCGAGACCAGCCTAGTCAACAAGGTGAAACTCCATCTCTACTAAAAATACAAAATTAGCCAGGCGTGATAGTGGGTGCCTGTAATCCCAGCTATTAGGGAAACTGAGGCACAAGAATGACTTGAACCCAGGAGGCAGAGGTTGCAGTGAGCCGAGATCACGCCACTGTACTCCAGCCTGGGTGACAGAGACTCTGTCTAAACAAAACAAAACCCAACCTAACAAAAAAACCTTACTGCAAAGCTACAGTCATCAAGAAGACAGTGTGATTGATAATAGAACAAGGATAGATGTACTAATCCGTAGAATAGAACTGAGGGTTCAGAAATAGGTCTTCACATTTACGGTCAACTGATTCTCTTTCTGAGACAGGGTCTCACTCTCAGCCCATCACCTTGGCAGGACCCCACTGACCCTGCAGACCACTGGACCCTCAGGACACTGAGGTGTGAATGCCAGGAGGGGCCGGTGGGACATCAGGGAGGCTGCCACCCCCGGCCCCTTGCCCTGGCTGCGTCCGAGGTGGGTACAGCCCTGGGGTTCCAGGGGACAGTGGGGCAGCAGCCAGGTATGGTGAGGAGACAGTCCTGGAGCCAGGGGAGCCAGAGGAGGCTGGGACCCAGGTGAACACAGGGACCGGGGAGGGCGAGTTCGGCCTCACCTCTCACAAGCCCGGGCTCCAGGCAGCCCCAGTCCCACCCCCATCCCTAACTTCCCAGAGCCTGGAGTTCATGGGCCTGGCCTAGACTTCTGTCAACACAGGGACTGAGGTTCTCCAGATTTCAAAAGCCTGTTATCTGCAGTTGTGTTGCCCAGTTCCCCCCACAACAGACAAGCCCAGACACCACAGAGGCAAAGGAATTCAGCAAACATTTATTGACCCTCGGTCTTCATCAAGGAGGCAGTGGGAGATGAACTGGAAGTGACCAGGGGCCACCAGCCACACCCGCCCCACCGAGAAGATGACTTTCATCTATTATTCAGCAAAAAACCAAAAGCCAAGATAAAAATTGCTGGGGAGGGTCAGGGGCGGGGAACTGGGCCAGATCCCAGCTGCCCAGCGGCCACCACCTGAGGCGGGGAGGGGCAGGAAACGTCTGGACGGTGGGGAAGGCAGAAAGGACTTCGTGAGGGGGCACCCCCAGTCTGGGGCCACAGGACGCAGGTTGTGGCGGGCGTCCTGGCTGGGTGTAGGCAGAGGCTGGCTCCCGGAGGCCATGGCGGGGGGCTCTGAGAAGGGGGCAGCCTGAGGGGGAGCCCAGGACAGCCCCTATGTTGCCGGTCCAGTCCAGCCCCTCAGGCTGTGTTTCCTGAGACCTCCTTAGTCTAACCCAAACCTCCCAGCTCTGTCATTCAAATGGACGGATTAGGTCCCTGTGGGTCCATTTCCGTGTTTTGGGTGCTGAGGACAGAGCTTCGGGACAGACACGGCCCTCGCCCTCTGGAGCGCCGTCCAGCTGGGCCCAGATGATACAGCACCAAGCCTGCGGCAGATGGGACAGGTTAGGAGGAAAGTCGGGGGAGAAGCCGGGCCGGGTGGTGCGGAGCACAGAGGGACCCAGAGTGCGAAGGGCTGGCCCACTGATTCCCCCAGAGCCGGAGTGGTCCCTGGGCAGCTACGAAGGGCCCTTTAGCCACAGTGGAGAGGGCATTCGAGGCCAGGGCCTGGTGGAGAGATGTCCTGCCCTCTTAGGACCCACAGCCCGGGTGACTGTGCAGGGTGCCCCAACTACCCCTGAGCTCCTCCCCACACTCCCAGCTTCGCTGCCCCAGGCCCTTCCTCCCCTTCTGCACTGATGCCTTCTCTGAGCAGCTCCCCTCCCCTGGCCACGCTGAGCTTCCACCTGCCGCCAAAAAGACAGTCCCTGCCCCTTGCTGAGGAGGCCTCCCTCACAGGGTCTGAAGCTCCCAAGGAGAAGGGCTACTTTGAGGCTCCCCTGGGACTAGGACCCCCGGGGTAGGACTGCTGGTGGGACCAAGGGTGCGGCCCCCAGCCCAACGCTGCCTCCGCCCAGGGTCACTGGCCTGGCCCTCAGAGCTCAGGGAGGGGGCAGGGCAGCCAGGGGCCACGGGTGGCCGGACTGCGAGGCTCCTGCAAGCTGCGCACGGCTGTGTCCTGGAGGGCCCAGGGGGCTCCTGATGGAGGCACAGACTGGAGCCTTGGAGGGCCAGCGCTAGTGGGACGGCTCACTCGCCTCCCGTGGGCCCTGGTGAACTCGGCCCCAGTTGGGAAATGGCCCTCGGCGCGGCTCAGAGGGACCCTCTGCCTCGGCTGAGTGCCTGGAACTGCGCCGAGCCGCCCTCCCCGAACACAAGATCCGGGATGGCGACCGCCTTGGTGGTTCAGGGTACGTCGGGCGCTGCCTGGTTAACTCAGTGGTCGACAGCGGCACGTGCTCAGGGCTATGAGGAAGGAGCCCCCAGTCCTCACCCACTGGGGAGGCGGAACCTCCCTTACCGGGGCTGGGCCCACGCCCTCGTGAGCGACGTCCTCGGCCCCCGCACTCAGTGTCCGCAGCCCAGCTCGGACCCGCGCGCGCTCCGGTCGGGCCCTCCCCGCACAGACACCTGGGGGAGGGGTCTGCGGTGGGCACGGGCAGCTGTGCACCTAACAGGAGAACCCAGCGCGGGTCTTCAGGGCCAAGGGCGGCTGCCCTCACCCCAGCGCGGCCCCGGACCGCAGCCTCCGCCTTCCGCGGTCCGGGGACCGGGAGGCGGGAAAGGGGCCTCTAGAAAGTAACTTGCCTGGTGATGCTGCGCGACCGCCTTCCAGCACTGGGAAGGTTCTGGGCACTCAGGGACATTCAGCTTCCCATCCCGGCCTCCGGGGGGAACCCTCACAACCGCCACGGCAGAGCGAGGCAAACCCCACGCGGGGGCAGAGAGCGCGTGCGCGGGCGGGGCTTCAGGGGTGCGGAGGGGAGGGAGGCCGCGGAGGGAAGGGAAGGGCGCGGAGCGGAGGGGTTGCCCTCGGTCCCGCCCCCAGCCGTCCCCCGGGTCCGCCCGACACCCCCAGCCACCTGCGGCCCGCGGCCCTGGGAGGAGGGCGGGACTCCGGCGTGGCGTGGCTGCGGGGCGCTCCCAAAGTCGACTCTTCACCAAGACAGAAAAGGAAAACTAGTGACGCGGCCTCTGGAATAATAAATACGTATTCTCTGCTACAGTCTCGGCAAAGGCCGCGGCCCTAGAACGGGGCGCCGCCTCCGATGCAGTCCCAGGGCCGCAGCCTCAGCGCAGCCACGGCCTCCAGGGTCCGCCCTGGCCCTGCGGCCCTGTCCTGGGGGCGGCGGGCAGCGTCCCGGTCAGACCAGGCAGCAGCGGCGGCGCGAGCAGGGGGAAGGGGCCGCCGAGCGACGGCAGCAGCGGGCGGCCCGCGTAGACCTCGGGCGCAGGGGCCTCTGCGGGGGCAGCCGGGGGCAGCGAGGCCGGGCGGCGGGAGGGCCCCAGCTGGCGCAGGCAGGCTGCCAGGTGGCCCAGCAGGCGGGAGCGCACGTCGGCCGGGACGCCCTCGCAGTCGGCCAGGAAGCGGTTCACCTCCGCCAGACACTCGTGGAAGCCGGCGCGGTACTTGCCCAGGACGGCGGGGTCGGCGCTGAGCGCGGCTACGGGAGCGACACGGGAGGAGCGGTCGGTGCCGGGCCCCGGGGGTCCCGCGCCCTCCCGTCGCCTCCAAGCCGCGGCTGCCCGCGCCTCACCCGTCACCTGCACGCGACGCAGGCTCCGCAGGTGTTTCACGGTCATCTCCAGGATGTCCGCCTTCTCCAGCTTCGAGTGGCGGGAGCTCTGGGGGCGGGGATGGGCGGGAGGTCCAGGCTCGGCTGCGCCCCAGACTCCGGGTCTCGGGCCTTCGCCCCCGACTTACCTCTTTTCTGAGGGCGTCCAGGATGAGGGCTTTGAGCTGAGCGAGACTCTCGTTAATGCGCGCTCGGCGCCGCTTCTCCATGACCGGCTTGGAGGACTGCGGGTCGGGCACCGGCTGAGTCCCGCGTTCCTCCGTCCCTCCCGCCCCCCGGTCACCCCCTCACGCCCGGCCGGGACCCCACCTTGCGGTGCTCGGCCGCGCTCCGGGGCTTGTCTGGGGTCCGGCTAGCGCTGGCCGGCGCTCCTGCCATCGGCGAGGCGCTCGGCTTTCCCGGCGTGTCTGCGGCCATGGTGCGCCCCGCGCCTCCCCGTGCCGGCTGGAGCGCACCGCCGGGGACCACGGGCGAGCGGCGAGCGCGCGGCGATCCGAGACCCTCGGGCGGGTCCTGTCCCCAGGCCCGCGCGCGCCTCAGGCCGCTCCCCTATTTAAGGCCTCGCCGCCGCGGGGTGTGTGAACCCGGCTCCGCATTCTTTCCCACACTCGCGCCGGCCAATCGGCGGCCGCGCTCCTCCCCCGCCCGCTGTCAGTCACGCCTCGGCTCCCGGCGCGGCCTCCGCGGGCGACAAAGGCTTGCGGGGCCGCCCCGCCCGCGCCCCGCTCCGACACCGCGGGGGCCACGGCCGGGTGAGCCCGCGCCCCCCGCTGCAGCCAGGGCCGAGCAGCGCGCCGGGAGGGGCCGCTGGGGGCGAACGGGGACCGGGACCCCCGGGGCTGGGCGGAGTCTCGGGGGTCGCTCTCCCGCCCAGGGGGCCGGGAGCCGGGGCGGGACGGAGCTGGGGCTGGCGGCGCGGGAAGCCGGGAAGGAATATCCCCAGTGGCGCAGGGTCCGGCGGCGCCGAGGGGTGGGCGAGCCTCGGTCTCGAGCGTCCTCGCTTCCTCCGCCCGCCCTCCCTCTGGTCCCGTTTGGGCTCTGCTCGGTCTCCGAGTTTGACCCGACACCGGCTCCGCCCCCGGGGGTCCCACCCTCAGGTGTGCGGCCGGGGGCACGGAGGGCTAGAGAAAGCCTTGGGAACCACAGAGCCGGGCCGGCAGGCCGGAGGGCGGCGGCAGAGGACGGTGAAGGGGCGCACGGGTCACCCCGCGGGGCAGGGCCGGTGATGGCGCGGGCCGGGCAGGACCACGAGGAGCAGGACGTGCGCGTGACGCGAGCGAGCTGGTGACGTCACCGGGCCCGGGGGCGGTGACGCAAGCCTGCTGGGATGATGTCATGGGGCCCTTGTCGCCACCTGCTTCCGGGTGTCCCTCTGGCGAACTCGGCAGCAGCAAAGTGGGGTTCACGGAAAATGAGGGGTCACTGTTAATGTGTGTAACGGCAAAGGGGCAGGTTGCGTAAAACAGGGCTGTGGTTATTTTCGTTTTTGCTGTTTTTATTTCCAATGCCCCTGCGGGGTACGCTGGTCCTTTCGGCACTCGGGGTCCCCGGCGGCCTCGCGCGTCCGTGCAGCTGAGGCTTCCTGAGCCCCCTGGAGAGCCGGGCCGGGGCCCGGGTGTGGAGACCCTCCCGGGCTTTTAATCCGGGCAGGAGGCCGATGGCAGACTCCGCAGTCACGCCGTTGTAGGAGAACCGAATCGGGTGGGTGGCCTGGGGGGAGAAGAGCCCTTTCCACCCGGTAGTCCCAAAGGCTTCGGCGTGGTGGGGGGGTCCTCAGGGTCAAAGCCTCAAGGGAGGGCGTGGCATTCCCAGGGTGCGAAGGGGCGCAGGGTCGAGGGAAGCGGGGAGGGACAGCTGGACCAGCGGGAACCGGGAGCTTCTGGCCGGGAAGGGGTCGGGGAACCTTTTGGGGAGCTTTGCTGAGCCAGGGAGTCGGCTGATTGGCAGGTTCGTCCCTGCCGGGGCACCTGGACCCGGGGTCTCTGTCCGGAAGCCTCCCCTCCCCTCGGACCCCACGTCTAATCTGGCCCCAAGCAAAGTCCTGCGGCCCACGCGGGGAGGTCCCGTCTTCTCGGCGCTGACCCTGGCCCTCCGCGGTCCCCCAGCGGCGCCCCCCACACCTCGCCGCCGGCACAGGGGCGCGCGCCTCCGGGGGGCTGTGAGGCCGGAGCGGGGGTGGCGCCCTCTCCGCGGAGACGCTGTCCACGCCCCTCGCCGACTGGGGAAAGCCGCGGGGGCAGGGCGGGCGTCTCGGGGGTGGCCCCGCGAGCACTTAAGCCCCGGCAGCACCCAGTGGAACCCGGCTCTCCCGCCCCGACCCCTCTGCGCGCGCCTTGGCGCTGGAGAGGCTCGGACCGGCCCCGCAGCCCTGGAAATGGTGGGGGGGGGGGCCCCCCCCCCCTCCCCCCCCCCCCCCCGTCCTCGCTCCGCGTCCCCTCCCCGGCGGGAGCGCTGGGCCAGGGCGGGAAAGCCCGCGAGCGCCCCCAGTGGCCGCAGTCGCCGCCGCCTCCTGCTGGGGGTCGTCCCGGGGAGCTGCCGGCCTGAATCTCCCCAGCCTCTGGGCCTGGACTTGGGAAGGGATTCTGGGGGGCTCTGGGCCTCCCCCAGTCCCCAAACAGGCAGGGATTTCAGGATGGAAGGAGGGGCCTGAGAATCGTTCTTTTCTCTTTGTGTGTGTGTGTGTGTGTGTGTGTGTGTGTGTGTGTGTGTGTAGAGACAGGGATCTCCCTGTATTGCCCAGGCTGGTCTCGAACTCCTGGACTGAGACGATGCTCCTGCCTCAGCCTGCAAACGTGCTGGAACTACAGGCGTGAGCCTCCTCCCTGCCAAGCGTGGCTGGGGCTAATCTTCCCCTCACTGGTTGTTGGATGGGCTCACTTCCCTTCCTTATACCTGTTTCCTCGTCTGTAAAAGGGGGCTTTTTGTTGGGTTTTTTTGGTTTTTTTTTTTTTTTTGAGATGGAGTTTCCCTCTTGTTGCTCAGGCTGAAGTGCAGTGGCGCAATCTCGGCTCACCACAGCACTGCCTCCTGGATTCAAGCGATTCTCCTGCCTCAGCCTCTGGAGTAGCTGGGATTACAGGCATGTGCCGCCACACTCGGCTAATTTTTGTATTTTTAGTAGAGATGTGGTTTCTCCATGTTGGTCAAGCTGGTCTCAAACTCCCCACCTCAGGTGATCCACCCGCCTCAGCTTCCCAAAGTGCTGGCGTTACAGGTGTGAGCCACCACGCCTGGCCAGGAGATTCTACTTTTAAAGCCACTGACGGTGTCCAGCTCATAGTGAGCACTGGTGCCCATCTGCCAGGGTTCCTGCCCCCGGGAAGCAGGCGGGATCCTCGCTGAGCAGAGGCAGGAGGGGCACCTGCACTTGCCTCTGCTCTGCTGGAAAGGAAGAGACCTCCTCCCCGGCCAGGGAGCCCACTTCAGGGTCTCCGGGGCCTGTGTTCCTCCCACCATCTTGGCCACAGGACAGCTCCCGTTTGTGTGTCTGTCTCTCGGGGTCTGTGCCCTTGGCCTGTGACGGTCCCATCCCTGCCTCTCGAATCTGGCCTTGATTTGTGGTAGGGGCCTCAGGGTTCCTGAGGGCCTTGGGGTTCCCTTGCTCCGAGTGTGGGGATGGACCCTGGGCTGCAGCAAGGGATGGTGACTCCCGGGGTTGGAGGCAGGTTGCGTTTTTCAGAGATGGCCGTGACAGTATCTCCCATCCCCGTACCTTGAAATGCCTTCTACATGAGCCCCTGTGACAGCCTAAGCCAGGAAGAATGGCGTGTTTGGCAAGACATGACTTCTGAGGCTGACTTGGAAGACGCCACGTGCACCTCGCTGTCCTGGGACAGTCGCTCTTGGAACCCAGCTGCGGTGCTGGGAGGGAGCCCACCCTGGCCTCAAGGAGAGGCCCGGTGGAGGAACCAGCGTCGGATTCCAGACTCCTGAGCAGCTTCCAGCCGAGGTCGCAGCGTGCCCTGTTCCAAGGCCGCCTGCACACAGTAGGGTGGTTGCTGAGCATGCTGTTTTGGGGTCATCTGTGGTGTGGCACTCAAGACTGGAATAGTGGAGGTGGGCCGGGGCCCTGACCCAGGGAGAGTGACCCTTCCCTCCTCACCCCTGCTCCCTCCTTCGGGGATCCCTTCCTCTCTCCCACAGAGGCAGAGGCTCAGCGGGTTCCCCACCCCTCCTCCCCATCTAACAGGTGCTTCTTGGGAGCTGCTGAAATCCAGCCAACCTCCTGGCCCCGAGTGGGTCAAGCTCCAAATGGCGAGTGGCCCCGGGGCATCTGCATGGCCCCGTGTTAGCTAAGGGGGGTAACTGATGAGGACATTCACACGTCAGTGGGGACCCTGTGGGGAAAACCAGGGTGTCTTCTAGGCTGGACCTGTGGGGCCTCAGCCTCGTGGGGGGGTCTCCTCACATCAGGCCACTGTGGCCGCACTCCATGACCCCAGCCAGTGTCCCCAAAAGGCCTACGAGGTGCTGGCTGTGACCTCCCCTTCCAACCTCTGACCTGAAGGTGGCAGCTACCATCTCGCCATGGCCCTCAGCACCCCCCTCACACACCGGCTCCTGACATCAGAGACCTGTAGCCACCCCCTGCGGGCAGTCATCAGTGTGGTCCCCAACTCCTGCCAAGGGCAGCGGGCTGTGCACTCAGGCAGCTGGGACCAAAGCCACCGAGGAACCATGGCTGGGGCCGGCGTGAGTTTCCCTCCTGGAGAGCCGAGGCGGGCGCAGAGTTGTTCCTGGGTGCTTGCTGGGATTGCAGTGATAGGCGGCCAGGGCTGCAGGAGAGAGACTAGGACTCAGGCAGAAGCAGGAGCACCAGGCTGGTGCCACTCCCACCCCACCTGCACGCCTTCTCAGCAGCGGTGGGAGCTGTGTCCCCAAGCGGGATGGTGCTGGTGTCTCCTCCCCACCCTGCCTGTCTGGGATCCCCTCCCAGCCCGTTCCTGCTCCCGGCAGGTGCTGCTTTTCTCTCCGCTGCACCAGGACGAGGTCCGTGCCCTTGTCCTTCCTCACTGGCACTCCCAGACTGCTTCCCTTTTCCACCAAAACCACCTCTATTTTGTGACCAGACCTCACCAAGCTGAAGTCATTGGCACCCCTTTCCGGCAGGAGGGGACACCTGCTCCCTGTCACTCTCCCAGCCATGCCTTCAAAATCCACACCGGCAGTTCTCCAACTTTGACTTCCTCTCCTGCAGGGGTCCTGTCCCCTCCCCACTTACCCCACTGGGTCCTTTCTCCCAACTGCACCCCTCTACACTCCAGCCTCTTCACTCTGTCTGCCTGCCTCCCAGCTCCCAGCTCTGCTGTCGACCAGCCCTGAGATCTGCAGTCTTTGTGCACGGCCTGCGTCTGCGGCTTCCTCATCCCCTCTGTCTGTTCGCTCCTTATCAAGGGAAGCCTATCTGGCCGGCCATTGTGTCTGCCCCTCACCCTCCCTCCCTCCCGTTCATGTGGGCAGACCACAGCCTGTGTGGAATCCTGACCTTCTTGGTGGCTTAAGCACCACCTGCCTATTCTTTTCTCATAGCAGGGATCAGGGCAGTGCCAGCGGCTTCCCGGGGCCTCACACAGGCTGCGGCCCTGGGCCAAGGTTAGCTGGCTGGGAAGGGCCCACGTGGCATCACGCTGGACACCCGGGGCTGCTGTCCCTCGGCTGCCGGGCACTCTGCCAGAGTCGTGCAGCCTGGAATCCTCCCCACCCTCGGTCAGCTTCCTCCTAACACACGGCACACGGCCAGTGTTCCAGGAGGGCAAAGTGGAAGCCTGGGGTCTCTTGAGGCCGAGGTCCAGAACGCACATAGTGAAATCTCCACCACATTCCCTCGGCCAAAGCAGGTCACAGCAGCCAGATTCCAGAGGAGTCAAAAAATGCACTGACCCCCCCTCCCCTCCACCACCTGCCTCTGCCCTCTCCTCACAGGACCTGATGAACCCCCTGGGTTTTTCTGCCCTGCCGGCTCTGGGAAGGCAAGGACGAAAGTGTAATTTAGTGGCAGAGACTTTAGGGAGCCTGGTATGGCCAAGCCCTAGCTCCCTGCAGCAGTGCCCCCAGGACAGCTGGGCCTGGGTCTCCGTGGGTCGGAGTTTTCCGAAGGCGGCTGTGGGTCGACCTCGCACCCGGTGACTGCACCAGGTGGTGAGGCATGCGTGGCCCAGCGCGGGGGCCCTGCCCGTGGCCGTGTGGGGTCAGGTGTCCGGCTCAGGGCTTCTGGGTCCCCTGCTCCCCAAAGGTGTGCTGCTCATGCATCCCCTGCCAGATCCTTTGGGTCTAAGAGGGTCCTTCTTGTCCAGCGCGCCAGGCTCCACCTTCCCCCGACCCCTCACCAGCTGGGTGCCTCCACCTGGCTGGAACAGCAGCCCTGCCGGGTCATGGGCCTGCCTCTCCACTCTGTCCTCCCTGACACAGCCAGAGCCATGCTTCTCACCTGCACACCCTCTCCCCGCGGCCAAGCCCACCAGACACCAGGCGGCTGTAAATGGCCCACTGGGTCTGCTGTGTAGAATGGGACCCTCCGCCCTGTCCCAGGTCCTGCTTTCCCAGGAGGCTCTTACATGAGGCTGCAGCTGGGGGTGACATGCCTGCCAAGTGGGTGGGGAGGCTCCAGCCCGGTAAGATGGGATCCAGGACTGTGAGACTGACCCAGGGCAGGCGGTGGCAGCTCGGCCTTCCTGGTCCCAGGTGGAGAGACAGGGTGAGGCTCCTCCTCGTGGGACCTGGAGGGGAGGGGTTGCCTGTGTAATCAGCCCAGCCTCAGACGTCAGCAATCCATGCTTCTTAGGAAAGGTGGCCACAGGGAATCACAGACTCAGTGTGACTTTCTCAGAGTGCTGTGGCACACCTGTGGGGTTTCCCAGCTCATCCTGTCCAGTGGGACCAGGCGGAGGCCCAGCCCTGTTGTCGGAGTGACCTTCGAGCTCTGACCACAGGCCACGTGTGAGCAGGAGTCATGAGTCCATCAGATGTCATCCAGGGCGGTGGCTGAGGAGTGGTGACTGACCAGACGGGAAGGTGGGGAAGGGTCTAGATTTGAATTCGTGCAAAGGAGTGGGCTGCAGGCTGGTAGACTCCTCCAGATGGATGAGCCCCGTCCTCTGGCCTCTGTGAGGCCAGACCCCTGCAACAGCCAAGTCCAGGGCCCCAAGTCAGCCCTGCACCTGGCCCAGGCCTCGGACCCTGATGGGGCTCACCCACCTGAGATCACCCTGGCTCTGCAGGGAGCTTTGTCGTGATCCTTCGCGGGTGAGGATTATGTAGAGACGTGACGAAGCACAAAAACCGGTGTTTGACGGGTTGCCAGGTGCCTACGTCAGAGCTCATTAAATTACACATTAAATAGATGTAGCTT